TCAGAATTTCATAGCAAAATAAAAAAATGATATTAAACTAATCTTTCAACATAGTTTAAAACAAAAATAAATATTAGGACAAAGCCCTACAAATAACAACAATAAACATAATAATAAAACAATTAAAATGTTGTATTCAGCCCTGATTAAAACAGCGGGCTCAAATCCTGGATGGGCGGGCCCAAATCCTGGATGGGCGGGCCCGGCCCCCATGGGGCCCGCCCATGACGCCGGGTCTGGTCCTAATATTACCACAATGATAAGAACAAGTTAAAAAGAAACATACTGTGCTTATAGCCGGTCAGGAACACAGTAGGAATGGCCAGTATATAAGCCAGGGCAGCGGGGAAGGTGAAGCTACAAAAAAAAGCATAGTAACAGGCAGTTAACATTCAACTTGTATTATCCACAAACTAATAAGAAAGTACAACAAGATTGAATTTATCACGTATTTAATTTGAAAGCAGTATCAAGTTATCTTATAATGTTAATGATGCATGTTACACTTCAATTAGGTTACTTAAACATTACTACACAACTAAGCTAGGTTAACAGTAGGCTCACAGTTAGCTAGCTGCTGTAGGCCTATGTTAACGGTTGCTAATGTTAATCTATCAAAACACACAATCGATAGCGTTAATGTTAGCTATAAAGCTACCTGTTTAAGTATAATATAATACACCCAAGGCTATAAATGAGCTACTTACTTAAAACGGAGAGCCGTGGAGAACGTTCACCTCACGACAGCGGAGCTACGCAGGCAGCTGAGCCGGTCCTTCCGATTCCGAATGGAAAATGGAGGGAAAAGTGGCGGGCTGCTTGTGTATGCACATGCGCAGACAGGACAGTATATGTGGTAATTAAATTGTACATATTTTTTTCTAATTAGGCTACTTTTAAATGAATGAAATGAGCTAATTTTAAACAGTGACAATATATGTTAAGATTAATTAAAAAAGATAAGAAGGATGCAATAACACATTCAAATATATTAAAAAAGGCTATATTAAAACATGTAACATCTAAAAGGGGTCATAATCCGTTTTTTCAGTGTGTTTTGATGTGAGAAATGACAAAAAGATGGTTCCAGAATGATTCAGAAGTGGGAAAATGAATAAAGCAACCTCTGGGTTAAAAATAACCCCGGCAGGTGTTCAACTGCAATTGAAGCCCTAATAACCCCCTTTGACCCAGCATGAACAACCCACCAGTGTGTTTACAGTACCCAAATAACCCATAATTATGACCCAGCCAAATCAACCCAGCAATGTGTTTATAGAAATAACCCAGCATTTTTAAGAGTGTAACGCATCTTTGAAATTATGAAAAGCAGAAAAGTCGGATGTATTATTAATTATTGAGATATCTCAGAACAGGCAAAATGAGTTAATAGATTTAATGGGTGTAAAATAATTATTTAGTAGTGTACTACAAAAAGTATTATGCCACATATTTACACTTTCAATAGATATCACAGTTCCATTCATCAATTAAAGTAACACCAAACAATTAATAAAGTCGTTTTAAAGTTCAATTTCTCATAACTTTGGTTATGAAATAAATAAAAGCCTTACAAAGTAAATTACCAGAAGTACATAATTAAGGAACTGTACCTATAGCTCTCGTGTTTGTGTATGCTGCAAATTTTAAATGAACAATAATATCTCATCAGTTTAATTGTGTAGAGAATGGAAATGAAGAAAAAGTTAAAGTTCCATATTATTTTATTTAGCATTTTCGACATGTAGAATCTTATTTTAGAGCAACATGACACAAAGGACATTTTCCAATTATACATGTGTGGCATTTTTACTTATTCAGACAAATAATTTGCATCCAAAATCACAAACATCAGATGTCTGTCAGTCTTTCACGGGCATGGCTTGGCATCAACAACAGGTTCGCAGCGGTCCACTACAGCTCTGACTTCTCCAATCTGGACTCCGTCATATGTGCCAGAGATGGACGTCCACTGGCTCTCTCCGTTACGGTAGGTTCGGCTGAGACGGGCTGTGTAGGGAATGTCCGCTTTGATCTTGCGTCCCTCCATACGGACTCTGCAGGAGTGGTTAGGGGGGACGGTGAGCGCCACAGACACTGAATGGCTCATGGACTCCACCACGGTGGTTCCTCTGGAGAACTGCAGGGTCTTTTCCCCGCCCAGCTCAATGCCACCGGAGCCGATGAAGGGGATCTTAGCTGTGATGCTGCCAGTGATACCGAGCATGGTGGATCGGCCAATGTTCCAGGTTGTCTCCAGCTCTGTGGTCTTTGAAATGGTGACTGTCTTCTCCACCGTCTGGCACTCGTTGTTGGTGACCCCGGAGATGCGCATGGTTTCAGGAGGATACTGGAAGATTGCGACCTCATCAATGCCGTACTTGACGTCAGAAATGTGCTGGGTGTAGGCATCCCTGTTGATGGCCAGGACCTGGTAACTCTTGTACCAGTACTCATCACCTTCCCAAGGCAGGAAGAAGGCTTCGAACTGAGGAACAACCTTCCCAAGACCATACTTGTTCTTCCCAACGTAGATGCCAACACCTGGGCATGTTCTAACCGAATTTTGGGGCACTGAACCATAGGAACCTTCCTTCCACTCCAGGAACTCAAAGTTGTCTTTGTTGGTCAGGATCTCAAACTCGGGGGCGTAGTACTCACTATCTCCGTAGGGGTAGCGGCAGTAGGGGCCCAGAATGGGGTTGTAGAAGCCAGCCTCACATTTGTACTTGCAGACGTAGTCGGTGCGTTCGGTGTAGCCATTGTAGATTGCAACTGCGCCATTGGGCACAGAACCGCTCCAGGTCAGCCACTCCAGGTTAACGTTATTACCGAAAATTAAAGAGGAAGGTAGATCCTGCTGTTGCTCTAGGTCGGCAGGAGCCAGAGGGCCCAACACTTTGTTACGAGTTGCTTCAGGCACTTGACCCTCCAGCGCTGGGTTCAGGAAAGAAACTGTAAAAAAGAGACAGACAGAACGTTTACATATTTAACCTGTTTCTGTTTTAAGGAAAAAACAAATGGACCGAACATTTGGCAAAGCAAGAGTCAAAGGACCTCACACCAGGGACCCCGCAGACTTTCTACAAAACATCTGCTTCAGAGTTGCTTTAGCCTGCATGGTTATATACCACAGGTGTCACGCAAACTATATATTTCTAGGTCAGAACAATACCTTTTCTGTGCAGTGAGCTCATCTTCACAATGTCCTGCAGACTGGCTGAGGACAGACCCAGCAGGGCCAGCAGCAAAAACACTGACAGCGTCATCTGAAGAAGAAGCACAAAATATTCTCCATCAAAAGCCTTTAAACATCCACAACATCAACATCTAATATATGCTTATTATGCAAGGAACATTTTAGTTGATACGTTTTTTTCCTTTGGGTTCAAATCTTTTGGGACATTATCAATATTTTCCTTTGATGATATAGGTCTTTCAACATGTAACATGTTATCTTTGCAAGGTACATTACTAGACATCCATGTTAAATAAAGCTCTAAAATGTACCAAATGTACCAATAAACCTAACATTTATTTTTTTAGCAAGACCTAGGAGCATGCCACTTCACATTTCACAACAGATATGACTTTTGTATATCAGAAATAATGTTTAGAATATTTTAAGAATTAGGGTTGTGGTATTGAAGATAACCGTCAAATATATAAGTTAAATATTAATACCCTGGTAATAATACACATATTATAATAATGCAGTGCCTCTTAAATGTATTTGCCAAAGAAAACCTGCACAGTAACTAACAAGCTAAAGAAGAATTTGTGTGATTATTATTATTCCCGAATTTACAGTAGATATAACCAAAACACAATAATTGTGGAGTGAAAGTATGATATAACATTGATTAAAAAATAGAAAATAACAGAAGCTTTAGCAGGAGACACATCTTTTCCCTCTGAAATGGTATCACATATTTAATCATTATTAATATTATATTTTATCATTTGATCAATTATTTCAGTTCAATTTAATTAAAATCAAGAACTTAATAATTCCCAGTGGGTCAATTAGGAAATGTTTAGCAGTGCACGTATTTAAGTCAAATTCATTGTATTTATTTAAATTATAAAGCATATGGTAGTTTGACAAAGCAAGTCTTTATGCTATCAGAAACGAGTTCCATGAAATCAATACAAATGCATTACTCTTGATCAGTTGCTAAGTGATTATTCTAAGTCTGGTTGACCGAAGGTGAAAAGAGACTGAACAGCACTCACCCTTACAGTCGCTCCCTACTGATACACTACCAGTTCCACCTCCAGGTTTATATGAACTGGTTTATGGCTGAACCATAAAGTAGTCTGTGCACTTTCACTCCATCTGACATTGACCCGAACAGATACAGCGGTCAGTGTCTCTCTCAGACTTAGATGGGATTGACTGCAGCTGTGAGGTAGTGAGGTAGTGGTGATTGTTTTTCAATCGGAAGGTTGTGGCTTTAACATGTTGTTGTATCCTTTGGCAAGATACTTATCAACGATAGGTGAATGTTTGTGAATGTTTGTGAATGTTAGCTTACTTGAACAAGGCCCATTGCTCTGTATGAATGTGGTGTGAATGGTGACTTTGTATTCCTAGTCTATTCCCTTTTCTGCAAAAATGTATTTATGGTTATCCATTGCATTTTTGCATGAATTACACTTTGGCCATTAAATGAACATGATCATTAATAATTTCTGTCAATACACAATTAATATCTAAGTCTTTCCACCATAAGTAATACACTTAAAGCCTCAAATCCATTCAATGTTTGTATTATAACACTTTGGACATCCAAATACAATTCCCATTCCAATTGCAATGCTATCTCCCATGTCGGCCTTAATAAATATGCTATCACTGCACCACTCTGTGGCATAAGGACAAGAACAAGGGGTTGTCAAAAGTGTTAGCCCATCCAATACAGAGAAACAAGGTTTGGGAACTCCTAATTTTTAAGGTCTCCATGCATGGGTAATCCTTTTCCTTGAAGAAACATGAGCCAAGTCTTGTCCAGGATGAATTGTACCTCCTGTGTTCACATCCATCTTTCAGAGTGTCTACCTTAAGCAGATAGTTCAAGAAGTAATAAGATAAGAAAAGATAAGATAAGATAGTACTTTATTGATCCCAATTTGGGAAATGTTTGCGTTGCAGCAGCATAAAAAAGACATGGCATTGTAAAATAAAAATTCAAAGACTAGAAATAAACAAGAAAGTAGAAAATATACATGTTCAATTTAACAAGGTATTATATATACATACATATATGACAGATGGAATATTAAATATTGAACAGATTATATAAATGTAAAATGTACAATGTGGTTTTATTCCAAGAGAAACTATGGAGCAGAGAGTTCTCTTCCAGCCAGAGGTGATTTGTTGTACAGTGTTATTGCAGTGGGCAGGAATGTTTTCCTGTATCGGTCCTTGTGACAGCGGAGCTGCAGCAGTCTGTTGGAGAAGGAGCTCCGCTGACTGTGCAGCTGCAGGTGGAGAGGGGGGGTGGGGTTATCCATGATGGACAACAGCCTGTTCAGTGTCCTCCTCTCCACCACAGCTTCAAAGGGGTCCAGCTTGATGCCGATGACAGACCCAGCTTTCCTGATCAGTTTATTGATTCTGCTGGTGTCACCGGCTCTGATGCTGCGGTTTTTACAGTAGTCACCATTTTTACCATTAAAGTGGACCGATCATGCTATATTTGAATAATATATTGTAGGGCCATACCTATATTAAACATGTCTGTGAAGTTTTTTTTTCAAAATACCAAACACATCATGCATTTTAGCTATGCCTCATTTCGCACTATTTGCTCTATTCCAGCCCTGTCTTTGCAAGGGCTGATTCAAATGAGCTGCAGCTGACCACGCCCCCCTGCAAAGGAGGGGGGCCAGGCACGAGAGTCATGTTACCATGCTTTTACCATGCTGTTACCATGCCACGCAACCTCTCATTCCCCTGATAGGTGGAGAGTTGCCCATATAGGCGGCGCTCCTTGTCTGTATCAGATCCGTTGCAGCCCCTTTTTTATAGATTTGGGTATGGAGGAAAAGAGAGAGGGTTGTGTTTTCTGACACTTTGTGAGTTCCCTGACACACCGGGGACACATATTCATGTATAAAAGACGTATAAAAGTGCATTTTGCATGATTGGTCCCCTTTAACTTCCCACAAATGCTAAATCATATTAAACATCTCAAGTTTAAGGAGCAATTTTCAAATGCACACTTTATTAATCTGACATTGTCATCATTGTCTGACATTATTGGTTTGAACTTCGTAACAATCCCTTTTTAGGCCCAATTTACAACCTAACAAGTCATTTGGACTGAATTCATTTTGAATCACATATGGTTTAAAACCACTGCTGCTTTAGTATCTGGTATAGATAATAGCAGGTGTCAATGAGCAAGGTAGCTGCAACTGCTCCTGTTGAAATAAATAAGATCTGAATGGCAGCACAGGAGGGAGAACAAACCATGTTGGTATAACAGCAAAATGCCGTGAGACTGGGTTGTGTTGTGTTCATGCTGTTCTCACGACCAGCTATAAACCAGCGTAGGATAAGATTCAGGATTATTAACGAGTAAAGAACAGTTTGATAAGGCAGTACCTTATCACTTAGTTCTGGCCTCCAAACTATCATACTGTATCAATGTCCTTCAGTGTATCAGACGACATCTAATAAAGTTAGATAAATCTAAATCTAAAGATTTAGTCACCGTGACCGTGCTTTCAGTGAGGCACGCTATATACAGTGATGCAAGAATGACTCCTAAACCCTGGAATGAGTTAGCACTTTACCACTTACGCTTCCCTCGTCAAGTTTTTTTTAATATATATATGTTTTGGTTGAGACACCTAAAATAAGGGCTGAGAGGGGATTTCACGGTATGCTCTACGACATAAAATATGTCAGTAAAGGCTCCTCGTGAATCTCAAATCAGAAAACAAATTTTAATTATTTTCCTCAAGGTCTTTATTTGTCAAAGATCTGTATAAAAAGTCAACCATACAGTCCATGGTCTCAACCCAACACTTGCTGAACTTATGAGCCATGATGAAGCATTGCATTTGCAATTGAAGCGCTTCAAGATTTTTCTTGGCAGATGAGAAGCGCTATATAAATTAAATGTGTTATTATTATTATTAACGGTCATCTTATACTTTAATACAGTATTTAGCCCTAACTTTGAAATTGAATAGGTGCCTAACCAAAACACAATGTTTATCACAGATTTATGACAAGGAAAACTTTACAGTACTTAACCACATCTCAAATTAATGTTCAGGTTCCCAGCTTTAAAATGATTTATGCCACTTCTGTCTTGCATAAACTATTGACCTGTTTTTCTCCACTTGAAGATCCCATGTCCCCGCTAAAAAAGACAAACATGTGTTTTTGTGGGTCTCTAAGAGTAAAATTACTTTTGTGGATAAGCTTTGCTAATAGATGACTTAATGTGTTATAACTCATCTATAGAGTGGTGCAGGGATGACATATTTTTGTAGGCCAACCAGGAAGTTAGAATCCCAATGAATTCCTCGACAAAAAACAATGGGATCTTCCCATTGGATTGAGCATTGAGCGTTGCAGTGTCAGCAAAACAAGAGAGACTGAGAGACTCCTTCTCCTCCAGCCTGCCTTGACTATTAGAGATCAGAGAAGTCAGGAGGAGATTAAGAGCGCCTGAGCTAAGAGAGCAAAGAGGAGAGGAGAGGAGAGGGAGAACACAAGGGGGGAGCACATATCAATTTTAAAATATCAACTATGCACATACACCACACTGAGGCTGACCAGGAACAATGGGAAATGCCAGCCAAAGTTTAAATACGTAGATTCTCTACTCTCAAGAAAGTAATCCTTAAGCACTAACAGCATGCAATCCAGCTGCTAGTTTTTTCTGTCTTTTACGTGCATTTTATATTTGCTTTAAGCGCGGCCCACTTCTTGAGGTTAACAAAATAAGGCATTAGCATGACTGCATCCAGCTTGCATTCTGGTATCCGAGGAAAGCCTTTAATTTACTCTGATTTCTAGTTCAGGATTAGATTAAAACAAGGCGCCATCTTTCCAATCAGTTGATAGAGTTAGGCAAAGCAATGGGATTTTTACCACTGGACTTCAGTATACTGCAGAAAATAATCTCTGCCGCAAATACACATTTAAGATACTTAACAGGTATTGTCCAGGATGGTGTTTTCCACATTTTACCACCACTGTGGTTTTTACAAACTCATTTTGTTGTCGACACAAAATGTGAAA